CCCAGGGAAGTGGTCGAGTCCCCATCCCTGGGGGTATTTAAAAGAAGGATAGATGAGGTGCTTAGGGACAGGGTTTAGTGGTGGGATGGCAGTGCTAGGTTAATAGTTGGACGTGATGATCTTAAAGGTCTTTTCCAACCTAGACAATTCTATGATTCTATACCGGGTATATTGTTGCACTGCTGTGTTTCATTAGAAATTAAAAAATCATAAGAAAACAGGAAGAAAGCAGAGAAGCTCTGGGGGAATCCCAGCTCCACCAGGCTGCGGGGTGGAGGAATTTGTTGGAGCTCGTTTGGAGAACGGTCCTTTCTGCTGCCTCCCCACCTCCCACCCTCGGGATCGCAACCTTGCTGGCTTCCAAGGCAATACATGCACCCTCCGTGCTCCAGCTGAAGCATGCATGCCGCGGCGCCCCGCTCCCCGCTCCTCCTCTGTGGTGCTAGCAGCCAGGGTTACACTAATTTGTGTTTAGTTTCCTCCCCAGTGCCGGCCCCCCCGATCCTGCAGCTCGAGGAGTGTTGCACCCACAACAACAGTGCCACCTTGTCCTGGAAGCAGCCCCCCTTGTCGACGGTGCAGGTGGAAGGCTACATCCTGGAGCTCGACGACGGCAACGGCGGCCAGTTCAGGGTAGGTGCTCAGAGCATGAAGCCAGTCCCAGCGGCAAGGTGTTGTTCCTGGTTCTGGTGTTGCCCTCCCCTGAAGTGACCAAAGAGTTCGCCAGACTGTTTGCAAGTCCCCACCCTCCCCTGGAAACGTGAGACTCGCTGCTGGGGTGCCCAGGGAAGCCGGTGGTGCAGACAAGCTGTGGGCTTTTTTGGGGGGGCAAGGTTATCTGAGGGAGTAGAAATACCTTTCCAGTGACCAATATGACTTGCAAATGCAAAGAACATATTTGAAGCCCTGTCTTTTTAGGTTGCTAAATATTTCATGCAAGGTATGCTAATTGCCATGAAAACCTCATGGTTTCCCAGCTGCCGGCAAGCAGAGGTGTTTAAGGCCCGAGGGCTTTTAAATTGCTGTAATTACACAATTAAAATATGATTTTTCTCTGATCCGACACGCTGATAATTATCCTGGCGTGTTCACATCCACCGAGAGCAGGTGCAGGGACCAGCCCATAGCGTTTTCTGAATTCATCCACAAGAAGCTCAGGCAGGCAGGAGCCAGAGCTGAGCTGAGGCAGAAGCGAGGCGATGCGGGTGGGATCTGGAGAGGGTAGGGGGCAGGAGGCTGGGTCTGGGGAGCCCAAGGCTCAGCACAGGCACCCTGGCAAGGCAAGGTCGATTCCCCCGCACGCCAGTCTTCTCCCAGCAGCAGTGGGAAGGGGCTCGGATGTGCATGGCGTTCCTGCCGCTGGGATTATACAGGGCTGCTCCAGCCGATGGGACGCGGCTGGTGCCACGAAGGGGAACGTCACTGGCATCTCAAATCACTGAGTCGTCGTCCTGCCCGAAAGCAGCGAGTTGGCCAGCTGTGTGGGGCAGTGATTTGCCCAGCAGGCTGGGAGTGCCGACTGTTGTACAGGTGACAGTCCCTGCCGAGAGCAGCTGTGTAGGCCAGCCTGTTGGCTACCTCCCACGCAAACAGGCAGGAGAGACTGGGACAGTGTCCTGAGGCAAGAGGACTCTGGCTTTGGGCATCAAACCACAAGGGGAGTCCTTGCAGTGAGCCTGGGGTGGGGAAGCGGGAGCTGTGCTCTCTTGTGGGGTGCCGGCTGCTGGGGAGCTCTGTGGGTGCTGGAGCCCAGGTAGATAAGGGCCACCTTAGCGTCCCATCACCCATCTCACTGTGTTCATTAGGGTACCCACATGGCACTCCTTGACCCCAAGCACTGATTCCCAGGTCCTGGGCTGCTCCCAGCCCTGCTCAGGGTCTCGGGAGGGGTGGAAGCCATCGCCTCTGCTCTGCAGTGCCGGGGAGTGTGCAGGCACCCCTGTAAGCTCTGGGGACTTGCACCCACCTGTGAGGAAAGGGGCCAGATTCAGGCGTTGGCTCTGGAAGCAGCGGCACCCCATCGCCTCGGGCAGCAAAGCGCAGCAGGCTCTGGAGCGGGAGCGGGGTGGCAAAGCTTTCCCACATGGGCGAGCTGCCTGTGCAGAGCCTCCAGCTGCTCCATGAGGGGCAGCTTTGTCTTGGGATCTGCTAAGTAGAACTCAAAGTTTTGTGAGCCGTGTGTTTCAGTAGCCCGTAGGCCTGGTCACCGCTGTCCCAGCTCACACAGCTCCATTCCTCTGAGCGGGGCTACGGCAGCAGAAGCTGGTGAGTCGGCACCCGTTCGGTGTGATCACCTCGGTGTCTTTCAAGGAATGCTTTGATCCTGCCACCCAAGAGCCTGGAAAATTGTTTTCTGCAAGGATGTTTCTGTGTCTTAGGCTCAGTCTGTATAAATTCCTCTCTCTGGCAGAGCTCTTCTGGGATTCAGTGGGAGCTTAGCTGGGATTGATGTCTTATGACTTGGTCGTATATGAGTAGCATATCCTTCCTCTACAGAAAGTGGTTTTATGGCGCAGTGTTGTCAAGGAGCAAATCACAGGGCCATTTTGCTCTGCTTTAGTCATATCCAGTGCTCATAAACCTGCCCCAGATAGCAGAACACGGACTGAACCCTGTCCATCATGACCACCCCTGGGACTCCGTGGCCTGGGCACTAATTGTGCTTGCTTTGCAGGAGGTGTACGTGGGCAAGGAGACCATGTGCACGGTGGACGGGCTTCACTTCAACAGCACGTACAGCGCACGCGTCAAAGCCTTCAACAAAACAGGAGTCAGCCCATACAGCAAGACCCTGGTCCTCCAGACATCTGAGGGTAAGGCATTGCAACAGCTCCAGCCCAACGCGCTCGGACACGGCTCACACGCACGCTTGGGGCCCGTCCAGCCCACCCAAGCTTAGCATTGCAATATAGGGAGCCGCTCTGCTGGTCCTCCAGTACCTCAGCAATCATTGCAGGAAAGCCAGCACTGATGGGAGGAGGAAAGGTTATGTCAGGAGCCTTCAACAGTGCCAGAATTTCTCTCTCACCCCTTTCCTTTGCAGAAGGTGTTCTTCGGGGAGGCACAGTGAGAGGCATCCCGCAGAGAGGTGTTTCAAAATTTGGTTGCAGCAGGGTTTGTATTACACAAAGGGAAGCTCAGACGTTTTCATTAATTGCATTTAAAAGAAAACAACACCGGCAGCGTTGCTCCTGAGGCATTAAGGGCTGTGCATGGCTGCACAACGCCGTAACCTCATGGTTTCCTCCAGCCCCTGGCAGCACACGGCAGAGAGAGCGTGGAGCCGCGCGGGTGTCCTTGCCGACCCGCGGGGTGTACAGCCAGCCACGCCGGCATCGCCTGCATCACCCCCGCACCGGCAGGCGCTCGGTTAGAATATTAAACGCTCCCTTGCAGGTTGCAGAGGAGTCTCCCCGCCTGACTTTAAGTAGCTTTGTCACGCCAGGCACTTAATCCGTCGTGGAAAATTGGCTTGCTTCTGACATGCAGGTGGAGAGTGGTAAGGCTAGCTCTGAGAAACGAGGTTGGAGTCAGAAGCAGGAGGTGATGCAGCCGTGAAGTAAAGGGATCAGCCCCCCCCCCAGCATGTCTGCCACCCCGTAGCCTTGCTGCCAAGCGAGCAACCCCTCCTTGGGAGTTTTCCATGCTCAGTGGAATCCCTTTTCCTTATCTGTCTTTTCCAAGCCGTGTGAAGATTTGTTTCGCAGCAGCATTGCCAGACCTGGCTGGCAGCTGGCTCCTGCAGCCCCGGCTGCTGCCAGCAGACACAGCCTGGGGTCAGAAGGGAACACACACAGCTCGTGGGGACGCTGGTGGGGCAGGAGGGAAAGATCCTTCTTGCCACAGAGCACCTCTGGTGGCTTTGAGCAAAGGAGAAAAAGGGTTTTTTGCTGGGAACTGATTTACAGACAGAAGCAGAGCAAGGCTACGCAGAGCGTTTCCACTTGCTTGCCTGCACTCACCTTCAGGAGGTAACTGTTCCAGCTCAGAAAGAGCATGTGCCAGGTCTGAATGCATGGGCAGGATGGGTCAGCGAGGAATGAGACTCACACGTGGCAGAGGTAGAGTGGAGAGCAAAACCTGCAACAAACCCTTCTCATACGAGAGGCAGAAAACGCAAATCATGGGCCACAACAGCCTTGGCACGTCCATCTGAGCTGCGGGTGTGTTTGCAAAGCTGGGCACCAGCGCCAAGGAAGCTTCAGCATTCCCCTGAAGATCCAGGGACAGGACAACCCAGATCCAGCCCCAGGCTGGGCTGGCCAGGACTGCTCTCAAAGCCTGCGGGTCAACAGTTCTCACCCACTTCACTACCCAGCTTCACCAGCCTTTGCAGGAGACAGCAGAGCTTTGGCTTCTCATTTGTGCCTCATAAAACCCATTTGAGACATAGTTTCATAACCAAAACCAGTTGGGCTTTAAGTCATCCCAGCCAGGAGTTTGCAGGGTCACTGCTATGATCTTTCCAGCTCTGCTTTCCTTTCCTAGGTGTTGTCACTGTCAAGCCAAGCTCGCCCATCGTGCATCTCCAAAATATGAAGGAACCTGGGAGAAAATAGCTGTTCGTGGTCCCAGCAGGCCAGGCTGTGCTTGGGGCTGGTGCATCTGAGCATCTTAGGAAAGTTTGTTGCATTCAGCTTGATTCACTGAATGGGCTTTTGCATTTGTTACTGCAGCACAAAAGAGAGAGGGGGAAAAAGTCAGATGGCCCTGGAGCATTTTCTGCTCTTAGAGGCCGCCTGAGCTTTTTGGACTCAAAAGTGAAATAAATTACATCTGTGTGCAGCTTCTGGATAGCCGAGTGACTTGTTGAATAGAGCCGCCTCGCACATCGCAGCTCTCGGTTAGGCTTTTATTTCTGGCCTCTACAGCAGCATCAGGCCCTTAAGTGCTGTTTTGTCTGAAGTAGGCTTAGCTTTCCCCTTCAGCCATGCCTTGCTGCAAAGTGTTCGTGCAGGAAGAGGGGACAAAAGAAGAGATGGGCTCGAGACGAAGAGAACATCTCGCTGAACACGGCCGTCCTGCTGTAAGTGCTTATGAGGAATTCTGCTTAGAGGGTGTTATTTAAAAGCTGGCTTCTAGTCCTAGCCCACAAGATCCTTATCTGCAGCCTGCGGAAGTTAACTGAAGTCTTTCTTCTGCCTTCAGTGAGCAGTGAGGGCTGTAGAGGCTAGTGGGGAGGGAAACATCTTGTAGGGTCTCCTCATCTGAAGAGAAGAATCATAGAATGTTTTGGGTTGGAAGGGACCCCTAGAGGTCACCCAGCCCAACCCCCCTGCAGGAGCAGGGACACCTTGAACCACATCAGGTTGCTCACAGCCCCGTCCAACCTGGCCTGGAATGTTCCCAGGGATGGGGCCTCCACCACCTCTCTGGGCAACCTGTTCCAGGGTTTCACCACCCTCGGTGTAAAGAATTTCTTCCTTAGATCGAGTCTAAACCTACCCTGCTTCAGTTTAAAGCCATCCCCCCTTGTCCTGTCCCAGCTGGCCCT